ATGCAGTGTGTGAGTAAGTAAATGAATCTCTCCTTGTATATACATATATACTATATATATGTGTGTGTTTAGGTGTTTTGTGTGTGTGTGTGTGAGTGCCTTGCCCTTTTGGGAATGTTTGCCTTTTTGCGTTGAGGCTGCAGATATACACGTACATATATAAACTGACTGGCAAAAAGGTAAACAATAAACGGCCCAAGTTGAAAACAAGTGGTTAAGTAGTTAGGAGAAAAAGTACGAGTAAGATTGAAGAACTGATGGATGGGCATGCCTGCTGCACTGACTGAATGAAGGGCAAACATTGCCGGTTTTATCTAAATGTCAGGGCTGCTGAAGCGCGATAAGCCGAAAAGCTAGGTTAGTCTAACGTATGTGGTAGTGAGGAACTGGGAAATTGGAGCTGGACACAGGTGATTAAAAACAAAACCCCACTACGAATATAAACAAACGCTAAGTGAGCAAGTGAGTTTAGCCAAAAACGAAAATTATGAATAACCTTATTAATAACCAACAACAAAACTATTCTGTCTATTTTATTTATTTATTTATTAAATGTTGTTATGCTTTGTAAGAACAAGCTATAGCTCCGTGGCCTTAAGCTAAGTTACATAACTATATAATTATTGCTAAAAATTACCTAATAAAGTATTTAAAGTATATTACAACAATACAAGTATGATAAAAAAAAAGGTAACAGGTTGTATTCTCTTTTTTTGTAATATCGACTAGTTTTATATGAGGTGATAAAAATTTGATTTAATTAAGAATACTTTTATATGTATCAAATTTTGTGATTTAGGATGAATTCCAAGTTAGAAGTGTTAATAATAATAAATAAAACATTCAAAACATATACCCCCAAACTATATTGTAGGATGAACAACTTCATTTACTAAACGTCGAGTCATTATGAAAAAAAGTATATAAAGATTGATAGAAGTTCATTACGGGGGCTAACAACGACCTGTTCCTCCCTATAGTATGTGCTAAGGAGAGATCTTTAGTAAATATAGTAAGCCATATTAAAGTGCTCATGGAAACTAGAATATTCTACAAATAAAAGAAAGTCGGCATTGTTCTAGTAGAGTGTCTAGCTGCAGAAAAATTAAATAAAGAATCAACTGACCTAATTATTGTGGAATTGGTAGTAGTGGCAGAAGTAATAGTAGCTTTAGTAGTAATATGTACTAAGAATAATAAGAAGAATTAGTGGTTATAGTTGTAGAGTTCTAGTAGTAGTATTAGTAGTAGAACAAGTAGTAGTAGTAATAGTTATAGTAATAGTATAAGTAGTAGTTTAGGAGTAGAAGTATAGTAGCTTAAACATTATTGCTAGTGTTTATAATTATAATTTAGTGCTCCACCAACCCACAAATTAAATATAGTATAGTATATATAGTAGAATTTGTAGTTGTAGTAGTAGGATTCTAGTAGTAGTATTAGAGTAGAACAAGTAATAGTAGCAATAGTTTTAATAATAGTATAAGTAGTAGTTGTAGAAGTATAGTAGCTTAAACATTATAGCTAGTGTTTATAATTATAAATTAAATAAAAAATTGTATATATAGTACTACGAGTATCTAAAGTCTTTTAATACTTTTCAACTATGAAGAAATAAAAACTGTCTCTTTAATTCTAGTTAAAAGATAATACAAAACAGATTTTTCAAAACATTTTTTCATACAACATTTTTGAAATAAATTTAAGAGAAAAAATTGGTTCATATTTTAACTTTTAAGAAAGGAAAGATCACGCTTCTATATATAATTATTATGAAGTCACAAACACAGAATAATTATTTCTTTGTTTTTATGAATATAGCAGGATTAATTTTTTATTATATTTCCATTTGCTTGTGTAAGTTTTGTAAGTGCATTTTTCCATCCACAAGATATGCCTTGAATAAAAGATCAATAATAATAATATCATAATAATATCCTAATAATATCAATAATAATATCATGTCTGGCCAAAGAAGCCTCCGCCCGCTGGGAATTCTTCAAGTTCTGGCAGTTTTTATGCTGGTTTTATTAGCTTTCTTTCTTCTATTTGATTTTTTCGAATTAATTGTTTTTATATCATTTTGTTTGCTAGTTCTGCCCTCACTTGGCTGTGAATCAAAGGCATTATTGGTTAATATTCTAATTTGTTTATAATTCCGATATCTTTTAACCCTTCTTATATCTATGATGCATATCTTAAACTCAATTATTTTGCAAAGTTTCTATTTGATATAGTTCTACACACGGTACTTTAAGTGTATTTGATTTGGTTACACTGAAATAAACTAGTGAATGGAGATTATGATTATTATTATTCCTGGGATGCAATAATTTTTTTCAATATATAAAGTACAACTAAAAACGCGATAAATGTGGGGTTGTATTATGCTTTAATAAAAAGAATATTTTTTTTTTAATTTTCATTTATAGACATTTTTTGACCCCCGAAAAACAACTTTAAGTTAAAAATAAAACACATCGTTTTTTTGTAAAAAAAAATATAGACAATCACAAAATTTCAAAAAACCAAAAAACGCGTATATTTTTAGTTTGCCTTTTCTATCTAACGGATAAAACCACATTGAAGTGTTAAATTCGAAGAATACCTTTTATTTATTTTATTTTAGTAAATCAACAATAGTTCTGTCAATACGTTCCGTTATATATTATTAAAATATATTTTAACATTTTATATACATTATAATATAAAAATTAAAATGAAGATATGACTTAATATAACATTACAGTTTAAACTTAAAAGATAAGCCTAAGAAAAAGCTGTACATTTACGTCTATTAATGCCACCGAGGCGTTGGGGGAATTTTCTTTGCCAGTTGGCCAGCCATGCCCCGATTCACAGCCATATGTGGTCAGAGACATTATAGACCTAACAAACTAAACAAATAGTAAGTAGAGGAGGAAAATTAGTTCTACTTAAGAACTAATTAGAAATGGTAAGGATTAGAAAGAGAAAGAGGAGAAGAGAAGAATAAAGAGTAATAAAATAAAGCTTGAATAATATTGAAAGGAATATATTGTTTCCCGGTCATTCAAATGGCCATCAACTGATGCTTAGCTATGAGATTTTTAAGTAAATAAATACGCGTGCTCTGGTATGTCTGGAACGCAGCGCTGCGGCTGCTGGCTTGGCTGCCAAGTAGCTCTGGCTCTGGCATCGTTTGTCAGTTTGTCAGTCAGCAACCGAAAATAATTTGCGTTGACAAGTTGTCGCACTAATTGATGAGCAGCCGCAGATACGAATGAGCAGATACATTTGTATCTTTTCGAACTGCCTTGCAACTGCAGGATCGCTTGCAGCACAAACACACACACGTTGCAGCACGCGGGCAGGATGTGGTGGTGGTGCTGGGTGTGGGTCTGCCCCCACCCCCATCGAACATGTTGCAAAGCAGCGCTGGCTGCGCATGCGCATGCGCGTGCTGTGTGCCTATCAGACGGCGGCAGCAGCAGCGGCCGCAGCGGCGGCAACACGAACGCAATCAGCAGTCAGTCGAGTGCCGAACGAGCTGAGATACGCACGTGTGGCGCACGTTTTTCAAAACTCTTTGAATTTGTATTTTTGAAAAGTGAGACTGAACGTCAAAGTGTTTTGTTTGGCCAGCTTCCGGCTACGCGAATCTTAAAACGTTTTCAACTTTTTTAACACGATTGTGTGACTTCGATCCGTTGTAGGAACATAACATATATAGTATATGCTGTATATATGTAGCGATTGGTGCCGAAATGTGGAGACGCGTTTGGCCGGCCGGCGCATTTTAAACGACGACGACGGCGTCGGCGCCTTTTCATGTGAATCTTTGGGGGCTCTGCACCTATAAGCTGTTTTAGATGGATGGCTTGGCGGCGCATTTGGCGTGAGGAGGCGCACTGAGTTGCACCGATCACGACAACAACAACAGCAACAACAACAAGAACAACAACATTCGTCGGTGGTGGCGGTGCGCGTTGCTTTTCAAACGGGTTTCGTGGTCGATCGCTCGATTGTATCGCCAAGTTCTGTCTCGATCGCTGCGGCCTTTTGATGTTCAGCCACAGCAGCAGCAGCAGCGCGCAAATCAAAAGGCCAAGTCAGAAGCAGAATTTTTAACTGAATATCGAAGAGAAGAGGAAAAAAAAATAAAAGGAAAATCGTTTATATTGTCTGCCTCGCGCTAAACGCTTCCAGGAACTAGGCAGCAATTACAACAAAAAGTGCTAAGCAAATAAATCAACTCTATTCGATTGAAGTGTATATTTGAAACACAATTATGTGGCATGTGAGCCAAAAATATAACCAATCGTTTGAAGTGCGGCCTTTCAAATGAAAATAAATCCAAAATTTTACCGCAAATAATAATAGTATTTCAAAACAACAAAACAAAAAATACGCTAAAATGTAAAACGCTGCCAGAATTGTGTGTGAAACAACAACAACAACAACAAAATATCAAACGAAAAGTATTAAGCAGTCCAAAATAGTAGGTTGAAAAAAGCAAGATATTCGGAAAAAATATCAGTCAACAATTTTAACGAAATCTACCATTAATATCAATTTTAAATTAAATTTAAACTACAATAAATATCAATAAAACTAGCATTTAAATAACGAATACATAATCTCACAAAATAAAACAAAACAAAAACAACAAAAGCAAAAAGCAACAACAAAGTAGAAATAAAAACAGCCAGCAACGTTTTTCAATAGCTTTTTTATAAAATCAAGTAAACGTAAATTTAAACAAAAGAATAATTTTAAAAATATTAATAATTAGAACTTAGCACTTAGTAATTTATTAACAACAAAGTACTTACAACAACATACATATATCAACAACAACAACAACAACAAGCATACGACAAACAAACAACGCCAAAAAGTAGACTATAGTAGACTATATAGAGTGCAAGCGCTTATCTGCAAATCGAATCAGAAGACCGATAAGAAATAGAACAACAACAACAACAACAATATAACCAAGAGCAACAATGCTGAGAATTATGAAAATCGTGTTGTTGTTGCTGCTCAGTCTCAGCTACAATCTGCATCAATTGGCAGCCGATGAGCTGCTGCCCAATCTAGGCGGCGGCAGTTTGGCATCATCGGGCACTCTGGAGAGCAGCCAAGTCCTCGGTCAGCACAACCACAACCACAATATCAATCACAATCACAACATCAACCACAACAACAACAACAACAACAACAATAACATCAACAATGTCAATCTGAACAGCACGCTGCTCAATACGTTGCTCAATGGTGGCGGCAATGTTGGCGGCCTTGGAGGCAGCCCCATGGGCGGAGTTGGAGTTGGCACAGCAATGAACACACTGGGCGGTCTGGGCGGCAACTTGGGCGGTGGTTCGGGCACCGGCACAGTCCCTGTTGCTGCGCCCCCAAACCCCAACCCAATGGTGGGCTCCATGCACGGACATGGACACGGCCATGGACATGGACACGCCTTGGCCGGCCTGGCCAATCTGGGCATCATTGTGCCGGGCAGCAAAGGCTTGCCGGGCATGCTGCAGGGAGCGACTGGCGGCCACGGCTATGGCGGCACCATGCTCAGTGGCAGCCCTGGCATTGGCGCTGGAGTAGGCGGCGGAGGCATTGGAGGCGGCACCGATATGCAGCACCCTTACTAGTGAGTAATTCCTACATCTATCTACCATACCATATCTATAGATGCGCTTAATTGAAGCTGCAAAGAAATCTCATCAATTGACGGACACGATCTTGTCAGTCAGTGCTCAAGTAGCGGCGACAGTGGCGCGTTTTATGCGCGTTTTCATGGCGATTATTTGTGGTGCGGGGCAATTGAGTTGCTGACATGACTGCTTGACTGCAGATTGAACCATTCGGGAATTAAGTGATGCGTTTTTTTTATGCTCGTAGTTTTTCTTCTCTTTTTTTTAATTTGTGCAGAGCTGGTAACATTATTAACTGCAATTGGCTTGTGGCCAGCTGAGGGCGAGTTTTCTTTCTTTTTTTTCCACTTTCCTCCTTTTATTTGTGTTGCAAGAGGGAAAATTCTAGACTTTTCCGTTCCGTACTGATAAGCATTTTTTTCTAGAGTCTTTAAGATTAATTCTATATTGAATCGGGAATGGGAAATACTTGTGTATAATATGAGAACTAATATATATAAGATTGCAAATTAAGAACTCTTTTGCATTCCTTACTGAAATTTGAAATTGCTTTTGAAAGATTATATTTTCTTCAAGATTTGATCTAAATATTATAAATATATGACAGTCACGTCAATTTCTTTAACTTCAAGTGTTTTTAAAAAATAATATAGTATTTAAAAAACTAAATGCATTTCTTCTCTATTGAAAAAAAAAAAATATTGATAATGTTGATGAAATGGTTTTGTTATGAAAAAGTTCTCTATTTCTGCACATTTTCTATATTATTGCGATTAGTTAGTAATTGGTAAACAAATACCAAAACAACTATTTTTATTTACTCTTGCTACTCCGGCAGTTGTAATAAGCGTTCTTAAAGCTGTTTTGCTCTCAATGGCATTCTAAAACGGCAGTTTAAAGGTTGGGTGGCCTGGATGGATGGCCTAGTTCATAAGTTTGCGAAATTATTGCTGCTCTTCCTGCTTAAAACCTAACAGGAGGGTTGGCTACCTTTTGAAAAAATGCGTTAGGTGTATAAGAATTCATAAATAGAGTCCCAAAAGTGTTGGAGAAGAATCACACCAACCAAGCAGTTCTTCTCCTGTATCCGGGCTATATTTTTCAAAGAGGATAGGCATCCTGGCTGATCGGCCGGACGAGTAAACAAACGCCATTGGCAGAGAATGTCACTATAGAAGAGTTCGGTTAAATATCAATTTTCTGGAGTTAGTTTTGGCAACTTTATGGACCTTAAGTCGGGCATTAGTTTACTTTTATTTTATTTTTTCATTTATAAGTTGATTATAATTAAATCAGCTATTGCTGCTTTAACGGAGCCACCGTTAAAGTGTTTTATATGTGAAGCACACATAGAGGCTGCGTTTTAAATTTAATCTTACAAATAGTATATATAATTATGCTCTTGTTTGTGTATCTTCGGCAAAGCCATAGGTGAGCATTCTGCGAGGGAAGGGTAATGCTTTTGAAGTCAGCTAAATTTTTTTTTTTAATAAAACATTTTAGGATAAGAGTTAAGAGCTTGGATACGAGTTACGCAGGGAAAAGCACGGAGGAAGGTTTTGTTTTTTTAATTCGTCATAAAAGTTGAATTTTTGAATTAATATATTTTAATTGAGTATTAAACCTTAAAATGGCTTTAATGAAATACCTTCTTTGACTAGCGAATAGAAGTTTGGTGTTTTCGTAAAAATTTATTTTTATTATTATTTAAATTAAAAATTTAATGGTGCCTGCCTTGCCAAACAAATCTGATATAATTATTAACTTTAATTAATAATAATTTAATTATTTATTTGCACTTAGCCATTACATTCAAACGATGTTTTCTTTAAAATTATGTTTTATTTGTCACAATTTTAAAAAGGTATAAGTATAGTATATGTTTAATAAATTGCTGAATAATGTACAAAAACATTTTTTACACATATTCAACTGCAACATTATGCCAAACGAACACTTAGCTTTTTTATTAAAATTAAATAATTTTAGCACGCAGTCAGCTTTAACTTGTATGTTTTCACTCTTCCAATAACTCTTAAGCGGATTCTAGGAAGCTTCAATTGGTCAGCATTAGCTTCAAGAATTAATCAGTTCCGAGTATTATCAATTGATTGTTTACTTTCGCCATAAGCTGCTTGTTTTATTTTGCTCAACTTATCTTGCTTAAACTTTGTTGTCAACGCCTCCAAACGCAACTCAGCAACTCGCAATTGTTTATGCCGCAGAAGTCAACTGTCAACTCTGTGGCAGTTGGCAGTTGGCAGCTGGAAGCTGGCAGCCTGATCTTGGCAAAGTATTTGCCATGTAAATAAATAGTTCGACAAAATATGCAACAGTCTGGCCCTCCTACTTGCACGCCACTTCGTCTTCGTCCCCGCTCTCCTCCTGGCTTTGCTGCTGTGGCATGCAGACGACGTTGGCTAATCAGTAAAGACGACTGAGCGACGCAGTCTGCTGACAAATGCAACATAAATCTCGACCGGCATCAGCATCGCTCCACAGACAATGGAGTTTTGGGGCCCCCCAGCAGCAGCTGAGGCTGAGACTGAGACTTTTAAACAATAAAGTAAAATTATTTATTTTTGTTTCGCTTTTTGCGCCCGTCAGGCAAACATTTTTACTGTGGGCGAGCTCGTTGGTGGGCGCGGGGAGAGCCAATAGGGCCAATGGGTTCCAACCTGCCGCCTGCCGCCTGCTGCCTGCCAGTTGTCAAAATCTGCTAGCCGCCTTTTTTATGATTATTAGCAAAAGCAGCAGCGACGGCGACGACGGCGGCAGCGCGTAAATTTTACTTACACTTCACATTAATTTCCCACAGCCACACAGACCTGTGGGCTTTGGCTCTCACACTCTGCCGCCCTCCTCCACATCGACGCATTGTGGTTCGACTTCAGCAACGGTTATTATTTGTCATTACAACCACCCACCAGCAGCAGCGGAATATCCTGCACATCCTGGACAGCGCCCCGGGGGAAAATGCAGTCGCAATTTTCATTATAAAATCCAAGTCCAAATGGGCGCTCGCTGCCAGTCTTTGTTTTACTTTTTATTTCCCCCACCAGCACCCCCGGCCAGCAACTACCTTTTGCATATGCCAAATGGGGTAGAAAGTGTTTCATGCATTGACCCAAGCGCCAGACAAATCGATAGGCACAATGCAGAGCTGTAACAAGGCGCCCATTAGTCGCCAAGCCGGACGGCCAGTTAGCCAAGTTACTCAAAGCCGGACGGCCAGTTACGACCCGGCTAGTTGGATCCGCTTGATTACAATTAATCGGCTTATTTGCCGGAGCCATTTGACGTTTGCTCGCTGCTCTCTGCTCACATGTGTTCACTTCTTCAGTTCTTCAGTTGTTCAGTTGCTCACTTATTGGCAAAGTGCGACTTTATTGATTGCGAATGTCAACGGAAATCGCTGGCAGTTCACAGCAGCTGCCGCTTAGCCAGGCAGCTGCAACTGTTGCAAGTGGCCAAGAGCGCTACGAGAAGCTTCAACAGATACGGGGGAGGGGAGTGAGGAAGCGACTGCACCCGTAGTTTGGTTTGACTTGCAATGACATCAGTGATTCCACACTTACCATATACAAACGAAAGCTTTTCAGCTCTCCTTTGCGATGCTCAAACACTATTTGAGATTAAAGATTATTAAGAAATGTTCTTTTATGGATTATTTGAGGATATTCCCCATAAAATTGAATAAAACAAATGTAGAAAGTCTAGGCATATGCTCTTGTCAAAGGGGCTTTCAAGCTACTGTTCCTTCAATCCTTAATGTCTATAAATACTACACTGATAAATATAATTCCTAAATTTAGCAGAATTAAGAAATGCAGAAGAGCGTTTAAAATCGCTTAGAAATTGAGGGACTAGTAATCTCCAAACTTCTAACAAAATGGTACCCATGGCAGAAGCCTAATAGTACATCTAATTTTGTTTTTACACAGTAGATTGGTTCGAGAAAAAGTTGTTTACAAAAAATCGTGTAAAAATATATATTGATCATATGTTATTTTGAATCGTGCTAAATGGAATAAAATCGTGCAACCATATATAACATTTTTAATTTTCAAACCGTGTTTAACCAAAAAACAGAGTTAGGTGTATTTGTATAAATAATTAAAAATAGCTAAATTTTGATTCAAAAAAACCAACGTCGATGCTTCTGTTTCTAAGTTTAGGAACTACTGAAAAGTTTCGGATAGGCATTCTGTTTACCAACTTATAATAATTTCAGACAAATATCAAGAAGCTAATTCCTAAAAGCAACATGTGTGCTATAAAATTGTATTTATTTATTATTAGTTCCTAGTGTAAGAAAGATTCTTATAAATGAATGCACTAGTCACAAACATACTAGAAAAATGTAAAGCAATTATTGCCAAAAATTCGTATCATAAGGATATTTATTAATAGTGGGATTGCAAACAAATTGGCCAGAATGGCTTAGGGCCTTCTCTCATTTTTTCAGAACAGAAGGACCTACATATGTTGGCCACAGAATTTAAATGAAAATACAAACAGCAGCTCAGACATGTTTTTAGCAAAGTGGAGTAAACGACTGGTGGGCCGTTATATATTATATACAGCTAATTCTGTTTTTACACGGTCTTTTTTAAACGATTTTGACATAACCTGGTTTGAAAATAAAAGTTTCATATATATTTCTTTTGAGATAAGGAACCAATCACTTATTTTTGTATATTATTAATGTCTTTTTTTACACGGTTCTTTCTTCAATCAATTTACAAAACAGAATTAGGTATATTCTCAAATTCCTGAGCTTAGCTTGTTAAGAAAAGGAGATGACTTGATAATGTAGAATATATTATTTGATATACGAGCATGTTTGTATGAAGAACCGGATGATTGAAGTGCTTAGGACTCTAATCAAGAATAATAAAAACTGCACTGTGTAGAGGGATTTTTTGCAGGCTAGTGCATGCATGAAGACTTCATTTAATATTAGAGGGAAGTTTAAGTTCTTAGAACTCCACTA